GGACAGAGCCCGCAGCCACCTGCCAGCACCAATGTCCCATTGTGTCCCCAATGGGGACAGGAACGGCTCTGCAAGGAGGACAGGGACGATCCCTCTCCGTGGGTGCTTGCTGGGACAAGAAAAAAAAAAAATGGGCTGCTGGGGGATGGATTTAACCTGGGTCAGCCCTGCTGGGGTCAAGCAGTGCCCCCAGCCCGGGTGCTGGGCTCGGGCAGCTCCTGCCCTGGCCGCGACGCCCCGCAAAGCCCCGGCTGGCTGCGGCTCGAGGAAACGCGGCGCGCTTCAGAGTTTCCCCTCCTTGGAAGCCACAATTAAAACTATTTGAAAAGAAAACAAACATTTCTCATCAAAATGTCTGTCTTTTCTTTTCCTGGCCCGCAGCCTGCAGCCAAAGATCTCGGCGCAGGCCAAGTCTGCTCCGCAGCAGCGCTTCCCCAAAGCCTCCCCCGGACACTGCGGATCCACCCAGGTGGGACCTGGAGCTTCGGTCGCGCTTGGTGATCAGCCCCTGGCAGCTTTGCACCTTGGGCACCTTGTGCATCAGGTAGGAAAGGTGGTTTTTGTTTTTTTTTGGGGGGAGGAGGGGATGCTCCTGGATCACTGCAGGTTCTGTGTTTCAGGATGGGAGCAAGCTCCTGGCTTTTTGCAGAAGTGGTTCTGGGGCTGTGCCCCCCTGCTGGCACTCACGCACCATTTTTCAGCAGCCACACGCATCCTGCACCGCCGGGCAGCAGCTGAGAGCCTCCAGGAGGGCAGCACTGCTGCCACCATCAGAGCAGAGGCTGTGGTTTTAATTACTGAGCTGCGCGGAGCAGAATGGGCAAACGAGAGCAGCAGGACCACAGGGGGAAAGGCAGCGGGCACTTTCCTTGCCCAACTGTCCCCAGGTGGTGCCGGGGGGACAGCCCACGTCCTGGTTGTCCCTAGTCCTGGAGCACTGCACCACTGCCAGGGCATCCCCTGGGCCAAAAACAAGAATTTCAGTGATCAGGGTGCTGAGGGGGCACCCATGGGTGCTGCATCCCACAGGACACGCACCCACACCGCTGCTGGCACCGGGACCATCAGCCCTCACCCGCACTCGCAGAGGCAGATCCTGAGCAGTAATTACAGCGTTAATTACAGCTGCAATAACACCTCTCCTCGGGCTGGGAGCTGCCTGCAGAGGCTCTCCAAAAGCCATAAAAACCTGATGCAATCGCCCGGCTTCGTTTTGGGTGCTCTTCGGGGATTTTTCCTCCACCAGTGCTGAGCTGCAAACCCTGCCGGGGCTCTGCCCGCCCCATCCCCAGCCGGATTCACAGCCAGCACGGGGTGGGTTGTAAAAACACCCGAGCCTGACAGATAGGTATCAGCCAGGAAGCACATCTGGTGCCCAAATTTGATGTACGAAGTGCTGGGAGATGCTCGGGTGGCTTGGCCAGAGCCAGGAGCCCCGGGGAGGGGATGGATCCATCCAGGTCCTGTGCCCCGAGCACCCTCAGCGCTGCCCCCACCGCGCACGGGGTCACCGCATCCTCTCCATCCCTCCAGTCCTGGCACTTCTTTGAGCTGCAATCCCACACGATATTGTTCCAACAGCTGAATTTGTGTTGATTCCCCGTGGCAGGGCCATGGACGAGGTCTCTGGCATTGGCTGTCCTGGGGTGAGGACACAGCCGGGGGGGCAGCGGCAGCTCCTGCTGCTCCCGTTTCAGCACGTTGTGCCCACAGCCCGGAGCTGGAGGCTGGCAGCTTTACCAGAAGCAGCCTCAACTCAGCATTTTATCACAGATGAGCAGCCAGAACTCAGCCCAGCACGGGCTGAGGGCAAAAATCAGGGCAGAGGGACCGGGCTGAGCCCAGGTGTCCCAGGACAGGGATGGGGGACGATGCCCAAGGACACCCTGCTCCATCCCACAGGGACAGCAGAGCTGTGCCCCAGCAAACCTCCAGCTGAGCCTCTCCTCTGCCTGCTGAGGTCAAGCTGTTTATAACTAGGGCTGTTTTCCCTGCTTTAGGCTTTTTCTCATGGAAATAAAGGAGGAGCAAAGGTTTGTGCTAAACAGAGGAGGGAGAGGAGTGGAGGACAAAACCCACCTGAGCGCAGCGAGTTCCCACCCGGATGAGGTCAGAGCTTTTGGAGAAGCCATACGGCCCCTTCCCATTTTGGCCTACATCCACATATCTTGGGGAAAAAAAAAAAAAAAAAAAAAGTGTTTTTCTACCCCCAAAAATTCAAATAAGCAAGTGCTTGCCTGGAAAAATGTCACCTTAGTCACCTGTGCCAGTGGCCCACGCGTGAACAGGGGGAGACGGAGAGGGGGCACGGCAACGCGCTGGGACCTCGATTTTCTGCTCATCCAAATGTGCTTTGTTTCTGGTGCCAGGGAAAGGAGCAGAAACGTGCCTGTGACACTGCCATCCCCCTGGGGAGCTCGGTGCCAGCCCCGTTGAGGCGCTGCCATCCCCGGCGAAGCATCCCAGCAGCGCCGCCTCCGCGCGGCCCCAGCCAGCGCCCGGCTCGCGGCCCCACACATCTGGCTGAAAGCTGTGCAGGCTGCCCTCGCTCTGAGGACACCGGCCCGGATGCGCATCCCTCCCGGAGAGATTCCCCGTCCCCAGCCAGGCTCCTCTCCTCCTGGCATCGTCCCTGCGCCAGCAGCGGGACGCACGTGGGCACTGCCGGGGATGGGAGGCAAAGGGATGGGGGCAAGGGGCTGGGGTGTAAAGGGATGGGAGGTAAAGGGCTGGATTTTAAAGGGATGTAGGTAAGGGGCTGGGATGTAAGGGGATGGGAGGTAAAGGGATGGATGTAAAGGGCTGGGGTGTAAAAGGATGGATGTAAGGGGCTGGGACGGGAGGTAAAGGGCTGGGTTGTAAAGTGATCGATGTAAGGGGATGGGATGTAAAGGGTTGGGATGTAAGGGGCTGGGATATAAAGAGCCGGGACACAAAGGGCTGGAAAAGCTCCTCCTGCCCTCTCTGGGCACCGCCACAGCTGCTGGAGCTCTGCAAATTCCAGTTCTGACACCCCGAGCACACGGAGCCCCTGCCCAGCACGGGGTCAGGATGCAGCACCGTGAAGGAACCAGGCTGGGCGATGCAGGATCCGAACCCTCCCGTCACTGGGATGGGGTCCTCGGGGTGCTCCCCGTGTCCCTCTCCTCCCGCCAGGTTAAATCTCTCGGCAGGAACCTCTGCGCTTCCCACAACCTCAGCTTTCCCCTCCGCGCTCTGTGGCCAGGGGTCAGGCCTGGCACCACATCAAAGCGGAGGGTATTCAATAACCTCGAGCCGTGGAAAGGCTCCGCTCCAACCCCAGCCGTGTTCGGGTTTTTATTGATGCAGGATGCCTTTCCCCATTTGTTTCCCATAAACAGCACATGGGAATATTTAGGAGCTCTCAGGCCCAGCTTTTCGCATACTCTCCCTCGTCTGCAATGGGCCTGCTCAGGTAGTAGACACTTTTAATTTACTTAATGCAGTTTTTGCTTTTTTGCTCTTCCGGAGGCTCTGGGCTGCTTTTGACCCAGCCGCCCCAGCAAATTACTGCACTGCTTTAGAGTTTTTTTGGGGGGGGGCCAAGCATGGGTGCCGAGGGAGGAAAGATGACCTGGAGTAAGCCCTGGGGCACAAAACATCCTCTTTTGGGTGCAAAATATCCCCTTTGGGTACACAGTATCCCCTTTTGGGTGCAAAATATCCCCTTTTGGGCTCAAGGAGTCAAGGGAGCCGTGGCTGAGGGGTCTCCCCCCAGCCCCGGAGCAGCCCTAGGCGACTTGGTCCCTGTGACAGCCCCCTGCCAGAGGTTGTTTTGGGAGACTTGGGTGCTTTTTGGGGCTGTTTGGGACTGTTCTACTGATGAGGCTTGGTGCTTGCAGGGTGCCTCTTGCCCAGTGCCTGGCAGTAAGGATTTGCTGCCCCTTGGTGCCAAACTCCGACCACCTTCATCTCCCCCAGATCCATGATGGGGTTGGGGGCAGCACAGGTGACCCCAAACGCCATCCCTAAACCCAGGGGGGCTCAGGGCTGGCCCCCGGCATGGTTAAACCCATGGTTAAACGCAGCACGGAGGGCCCCAGGGCTGCTGCTGCACAGCTGCCTCTGCCACGAGCCAGGCAGGAGCCGGAGCTGGCGAGCTCTCAGCACCCTCTGCCGGCTCCACCGCCCGGCCCTGGCCTCTCCTGCTCGGGAAGGAGCAGGGCTGGGACCACCAGCACCGCGCTGCTCTGCTCTGACCCCAGGTTCAGCACCCACTGCCACGGCACTGACATGGGGAAGAGCCCTAAACCCAATCTGCTGGGTGCTAACGGAGAGCAGCACCCAAAGCCGGCAGTGATTTTGCTGCTCGCCCCACCGAGCCGCTCTCTGCCGTTGCATTATTCCCCAAAAATCCATCCTGAACCCCTCCAGCTGCTGGCAGGAGCCCCAGAGGTGCCCAGTGCCTGGGGCTGAGCTGAGCACAGTGAATGCTGCCGGGCTGCCCTGTCCCCTGCAGGCTCCTCAGCAGCATTTGTATGGCTGAGACGATCAAGGAGGGCTCAGACCCTGCTCCTGGAGAGCCAGCAGCTCTCACTCAGCACCCCAAGGCTGGCCACGATGCTGGAGCAGCACCCACACCCTGCTAGCACAGGAGCAGGGCACAGCCACCTCCTCCTGAGATGCTTTTTCCCCCGCTGTGCATGACCACAAAGCATTTCTGAGCTGCAGAAGCCGCCCGCAGGCTGACACTCTGCTAACGTGCGCGCCCGGCTATTCAGCGGGCAGAAAAAGGCCGCTGCTCAAACAAGCAAACATTGACTGTCTGGTTTCCCAGCGCTGCCCCCGAGCACCAGCCCCAATCCCAGTCCCTCCGTGCGCTGAATATCGCTGAATATCAGGCAGGTTCCCTTCGGGCAGCAGCTTGCACACGGGCCAGCAGCCAGACATTCTTTGGGCCACGCTCCCGTCGCCCTGCCAGCCCCAGCGCTGCCCACAGCCCCTCGCCTCACCAAAAAGCAGCAGGGAGAAAGCAGAGCTGACACCGGGCTTCTTTTAATGCAGTCGCTTTTAAAACGCAGCCTTAAAATGACTTGTAACGGCCAACAATGGGGAACAACTGATGGTTTTTGCCTCCGTGACCACGTGGCGCCTCCAAAACCCGTTAGCCACAGCCACTCGTCGATGAAACTCCTCTGGGCAAATCCCCACGATTTGGGGAGTGATCAATCCACACAACTCAGCGCTCACCTGGAGAACCTCAGCTCCCAGCAGCACAAATCTCACCCTTCTCTCACACCTTACACTCGGGCACAAACCTACACAGAGGTGCCTGGCCTGTCAGCAAGCTCCCGTGAAGCAGAGCTTCAGCTTCAGGCTGCTAGTTGTGTGATTTGTGCCTTCATGCTATGTAAAGTGGCTCAAGAATTGAATGTCTGACTTGAATAGGATGGCAGAGGAAAGTTGGTTTTCCGGTATCTCATTTTTTGCAGGGTAACCCCACTTTGTGTGTTTATTGTACAGAGCAGGTGTCACAGACTGCCGCAGTTTGCCAACTCACTCCCCACAGGGAATTCTGTTTTAGCCTAAACGTCTGGGTAAGAATACACCCCAGCAGCTCCTCCACACCGTGCAGTGTTTATACATCACACAGGAGAGGAAGCTCGCTTGCTGAAACGCATTTAATACCTTCCAGTTGTTAGCCTGGGTGTCTGGTTCTGCACGCTCAGCACACAGCCCCAGGCTGTAGGGCAGCAGGGGCATTACAGCTGCTTGTTCTTTCCCTGTTTAAAATATTCAGTGGTTTTCCCCAACAATTTACTGGTCCTGCCCTTCCACGAAGGGAGTTGTGAGACTACAAAGTCCCATCAGGGAATGGCATTGCTGAGTCTGCTTCCAAAAGTGCTGCTGGGGGGAGGGAACGAGGCCACGTGGACCCCCTGAAGCTGTGGATGCTGCGTGATGCCACCGCTCTCAGGAAAAAGGAGCTTCCCCAGAGGGTGCTGTGCACTCAAACAGCTCTCCCACAGCACCCCTTGTATCAAGCTTGCATTTTACTCCTAACTTCAGAATCAAGAAGCCAGTTTGCTCTACAGAAATGCTATGCACTTGTCTCCAGGTGAATGTTAAAACACCTCTTTTTAAGGACAGCGTTAACAGTAAATCAGTAGGCTCTTACAACTCGGTCTCCAATTCCTGTTGTAAAACTCGGGCTCAAATTTGGACAGACTGGAGCTCTTTTAGGGTTGGAGTAGTTCTTGCACAACCAAACGTGACAAATTAGAAACTGAGCGTAGAAAGATTTCCCAGGGGAATATGAAAATGACATCACCTTATGAAAAAGCTTCAGAATGAACCTGTGAAACGAACAGCAACCAGACAACTGTCTTCTACAGGAGATGGAAGTAACAGTAGAAGAATATAACAACATCTTAAACAGTCAGTGAGTCAGTCTGAATGTACAGGGGCACTAGATCCCTACAGATCTGTGGTGAAAGCTAACGGCCAAAACCAGCTGGTCCCCCCCCAGTCCCCAAGGGAGACTGGGCGGCGTCTCACTCCTCGCCAGCTGGCAGATTGTCTTCAATCCTCCTGATGAACTTCATTCGGATTTCTGTGACGCTGTCCCCTTTCAGCGTGTCCTGGACAAACTTCACATCCACGGCCATCTGAACCTAGGAGATGCGAGAGAGAAGAAGAGCTGTTATCTCCCTTCCACCAGCAGCTTCCCAGCTGCCCCTGAAGCCTCTGAGGACGCGACATGCACTGCAAAGCTCCGGGGAAGCACTCATTAGTTTGAGGATCACATCCTCCTCGCACATCGCAGCCTGTGGTGGGCAGCAGGCACCTTGCCTAGACAAACAAACGTCCCACAGAGCAACCAGGACTCCCTTCAGAGATCAGAGGCCAATTAACACCATCACTCAGGGCTACACGCCCTGCTGCTCCGTGCATGTTCCTCAAAACTCACAGCTAAGCAGGATAATCAAGCCTGCACAGACTCCTACGTTGGAGACACAGCTGTTGCCTTGCTCCAGCGACTTCCCACAGCAGCTACAAAAAGAGGATTTTGAAGTTTCTTAAAAATTCAAAGAGCTATTAGTGTGTGTACGTAAGATGAAGAGGCTTGCTGAGAACTTCTGGGGCTCTAAGCTGCCACATGCAACAGCAACAAGCACTCCTGTAGCTTTGCTCTTCTCCTTAGAATTAATTTCAGGTCCAAACCAAACACAGAAGTCACAAGCACAGACTAGACATTAAAGCATCTGCTGACACCTCGATTGTTTGTGTTTATATCTCACTGGAACAGAGACGTTGGCTCACCATTTCCAGGGCACCCCGCAGCACTCCACAGAGAAGGTTGGAATAGATGAGAGTCGAGTGGTTGTCAGGGAGCTCCACGAAGTCCACCAAGGGGTTGTTTTCCAAGATCAGGGAGAACTCGTCACCGCCAGGACTCCAGTTGGTGATGCTGGGAGTGATGCCCAGGTACATTTTGAATGCTATCTGTTACGGCAAACAGAACACAAACAAGAACGTGAGCCACGAAGTAACGGCACCGCTTTGATCTCTGTCAGGCACTGAAGGGTTCTGAGAACACCACTCCTTTCTCCCAGTTACCACAGGTCAGCAGAATTTAGGGATTTAACTCTGTCTTTTTCCTCCCCAAAATCTCAAACTCTCAGCACAGTCCTGTGAGTGGCAAACACTCTATCCTCACATGCAAAACCAAGGGATATAAGAGGGCCTCCTCATGGAAAGATGTGCATGGGTATCCCCTGAATTAGATTTCTTTGGGTTCTGGACGTGCTCTGCTTTGTTTTCAAGGGACAACAGATGAGGTACAAACTGGCATCAAGGAGGCTATTTAAATTCAGCTATTGGATAGCTACCAAACACATTTTGGAATGTATTTCTCACCATTCATCTTCTTGCTCTGTACTAGAATCCCACATGAACCCTTATATGAGAACACACAACAGCCCCCTGCACACACAGGCCAGCCACGCCACTCAAACAAATGCAAGAGGCAGCAACAACCCAACAAAGCTGTGCTTTCCGTTACCTTTGCAATAACATCTGCGGTTTCACGGAAATCATGGCATCTTCCCACGTTGGACCGGGCCAGAAAGTCTTCTATCAGCCGAACACCTATGTTGTAACCCCTGTGAGCACACAGAAAAGCAACAAGCTGCAGATTAAAGATTACATCTTTAAAAAAGCAACTCATATTTATACCGATATTTATAAAAGACAGCACTGTGGGGAAGAAACTTCAATCTGGGAGGTACCAGGATTAAATACAGATCGGTCTGCCACGTTTTTACTCTCAGAGCAGCACACAGAGGTGTGCCCACTGCGAACTGGAGCTCCCTGCTGCAGCAGATCCACTCACATTTTGTCGAGCTGCTTGTTGACGTCCTCATCGTTCTCGTAGTCCTTGCACAGCTGGGTGACCAGAGCGCCGTACGTCAGCGTGAAGAGCTCCGAGTTCTAGGCAGAGGTAAAAGGGGTTTATTTTAGCACAAGCTGAAAAGAAAACCGACAGCACTGCTGCGTCTGCGTCCAGCGCTGCTTCGGGTGGCCTGGAGAGGGGGAACAGAAACCTGCTGTCTCAGAGGTATTTGCTGCTAATAGGAGAGGTCTCAGTTCGTGTTTTGGCAAGGCAACTTTGGCCTCTTTAGGAAAAGAAATGCTCGTTCGCCTTGGGAAAACCCAGCACTTTTGTTCTCTCCCTCTCTCCACACCCAGCACTCCCATCAACACAGCCCAGACCTGGCCTGAAGAGGCAAACCAAGCGGCTCTTCGCACTCCAGCCATTCCTGGCAAGTCCCGTGAGCTGCATCTCCCTGCCTCAGCCAGCACACCCCAGGGAATTGGAATGACACCCCCTGCTCGCATCACATCCCTTGCCAAGGACCTGACGTTGTTTCAGGCAGTGACCTCCAGGTGAAGGGGGCTGTGGCTCAAACTGTGCCTCTTATCTGCGTGGAGAAATGAACTGCAAATGGCCAGCATTGCTGAGGCTCAGCTTTTTGTCCTTTCAATGGGAAAAAACACGCTCATCCACCTGCAGATAGGATTACAGCCTGCTGCCAGGAGGAGGTGATGCACATCTGACCCCCAGTCAGATCATTAAGTTATCTCGGCACCTCATTTAGATTCAAATCAGCTCCTCTGAAACAAAACAGGAACAGGACGGGGTGTTTCAGGGCAGGTCAGCAGATGTGCTGCACACATCCACTTTCTGTGCCTGGCTAGGATCTCAGTTACTTGCGCCTGCTTTGCACAGACTTGCAGAAACACAATGGGAGCGTGTCTCCTCTCAGAGCCGCCACCACCACAGCTCCTGCGTGTCACCGCGCATTCTCTCTCTTTCTCAGGAGCCAGTAAGCCAGACCAGTGGTTACACGGCTGCAAAACAAAGGCTACAACAGGCTTTAGCTTTTCACAGAGCCCAAAAGGAGCGTTCGGGGGCAAACAAGCCATCGTCTTTCAGCTGTTAGTTCTGCTTTGGGTTTTAGCAATCAGAAACAGTACAGAAAGTCTAAGCTCAGAGTAAAAGCCTCTCACCTACCATGAGATGCATAGATGCAGAAGGTGAAATGAATGGCAAATACCAATACTACAGAATGAAAGCAGCGGGCAGGCAGAAAGGAAGGGAAAAGAGACAACATCAGAGTTAAGTGACAACACTGATCCCACTTCATTCCGAACAAGTTCACACAGAGACAAACAGGAGGGGGAATCGCTCCCAAACTGCAACAGTCAACAAAGAGAAACTGGGTTTGTTAGGAGGGACAGGGAATTCCATCTTGTCACTGTGACTCACAAGGTCAGCAGCAATCAGCTACCAAAAGACTTTAAGCACCCGAAAAGAACCTGTCAGGTTCTGGCTATTTGTGCTTAACTTTGGATCTAAAAGAATTGAAAACTTATTTTTGTTATTTGTTTGGTTTTTTACTTACAATTCGGCCTTCGTCTTGAAAAGATTGCTTAAGTTCATGTTACTCAGGAATGACAAGGTGGAAGTCTCCTTGAACTCAGCTGGAAGAGTCAGACATTTGGCAGAGAAATTTAACAAGCATGCAAAGAAGGGCACATTATTTGAGGGATGTGAATAATTTTAGTAAGGATGGGGCTTGGCAGCTGGAGAGAGTAGGGGTGAGTGGATGGAGAAGTCCAGTGTTACCAGCCCCAGCTGTTACCAGTTACTGCACAAAGCCACAAAGCCATTGCTGTCAGTGCCCCCGTGTTAGTGCTGCAATTTAGGAAACTTTCAAGTGTTGTAACATGGGAAACTTCTAAATTCATATTTGTAACTAACTCTCCATTTCCAGTCAATCTGGAGGAATTCAAGTGCCTGAAACCCTTCCCTTATTTATATTTTTCACGCTGCAGTTCAGTGAATAGTCTGAGGGGTTTATAAAGGTTCTGTGGTTACAGAAGGGCCGGAATCCTAATGAAAGAGCAGAGCTCCTTGAATACAAACTGCTGCCCCCCAGAGAGTGCTGTCAGGGTGGGGATGGGCAGGAGCTGGGCCAGGCCCTGCTGCTCAGCACCCACCTGGGGGCTGCCACCGACACCCCTGAGGGGAAACATGCAAAGAGCAGGGAAAATATAGGTTTAATGCTTGAAGTTGAATGTAGAAATCTAGGATTGTGAGGGTTGGAAAAGACTTTCAGGATCCTCTGGTCCAACCATCACCCTACTACCAGTGTCACCCCCTGCCCCTGTCCCCCAGCACCATGTCCAACCTCTCCCTCAACACCCCCAGGGACGGGGACTCCCCCACCTCCCTGGGCAACCCGTCCCAACGCCTGAGCGCTCTTGCTGAGGAGAAATGTCTCCTCATTGCCAGCCTGAACCTCCCCTGGCACAACTCGAGGCCGTTCCCTCTGCTCCTGGCACAGTTCCCTGTGAGCAGAGGCCGACCCCAGCCCCCCCCACACGGCGCAGCCAGGCCTCAGCCGGCCCCATTACCCCACCTGCTCCATCCCCGAGCTAATTACCGCCCCCACACTAATTACTACCCCAGCCCCTACCCCTGCCCGTGCCCTCCTTGCCCCGCCGTTACCATTTTCTTGCTCTCGGTGCCGCGGCCGGCCTGGCGCGACATCCTGCCCGGCTCGGCCCTGCCCGGCCCTGCCCTGCCGCCTCAGCCGGCCACCCGCGCAAAGCACCACGGGACTCGTAGTCCGCGCCGCGCCTCCCCTCCGCGCCCAGCGCCGCGCGGAGAACTACGAGCCCCAGAATGCAACGCGGCAGCGCCGAGCGCGCATGGAGGTGAGGGGTGTGGAAGGGGAGGGGGAGGCGCTTCCCGGTATTCTCCACGCGTCACGTGATGGTGAGGAGACTACAAATCCCGGCGTGCAGCGCGCGGCAGGTTACTCCGCTCCCGGCAGGCGCCGGGGGCGGATGGGAGGGGAGGGTGCTGCGCGCCGCTGGGGGGCGCCCACGCGGGGCTTAATGACATTAATTACATTAATTAAGCGCAGAGAACGCCCCGTGCGCGGGCGGTGGGGACGCGGCGGGGTGGGGGTGCTGCTCCTGCACCGGGAGGCCCCTGCAGTGCGCTGTGTGCCTCCCCCAGGAGGACATTTAGTGTTTTTGGGGGGGTATCAGCCACGGTGCGCTCAGCTTTTGGGGCTTCCCTGGCCCAAAGTGAGCCAAAATCGGTGAAATATTCATTGCACGTGATCAGACTCCCTATTTACACATTCCCTAGTTTGTCTGGTTTCCCCCATGTACACATTCCCTGATTTTTATGTGAACCAGGGGCTGCCACCCTATTTCCTTGGCCAAGAGGGACCCGGCAGCACCAGCGGTGTCGTTCGGGGGCTTCCCAATATTTCTGCCCCCCAGAGCACAGCTGCTTCCCGCGATGGCCCTGCTGGGAGCACCCAGGCCTGGCAGCTGGGGACAGGAGCAGAACTGGGGCGAGCGGTGTCCCCGAACACGGGGCTGTGCCTGCAGCCCTGGGCTGCAGTGGGGCTGAGCACCTGCACCCAGCGCCCCTCGTGCTGCTCGGGTGCCGCCCTGGGGCTGGCAGCCCCGCTCCCACCCTGAGACACAGCCCCTAAATCACACAGCCCCTAAATCGCACCCCCTCGGACAGCGCTGCCTGGCTCAGTTCAGGGATGGGGTGGGTCTGTTTGCACAGGGTCCCTTTTGGGGGGGATCCCACGCGCGTGGCTCTCCCCGTCCCCTTCCCAACCTCTCCCAGAGCCCCTGACCCTGCTCTGCTCCTGCTGCAGGGCCGGCAGCCTCTCGCTCCGCCCTGCCAGGGGCCGGGAGCACCGGAACGGGGCTGCACCCGTGCGCCCGCAGCGAGCCGAAAGCCATGGCGCAGCGAGCCGCAGCCCCCCAAACCTCATCCCCGGGGGCTCCCTCCCTGCTTCGTCCCATCCCGGCACGTCCCAGGGTGGCGTTAGCAGGGCTCGGAGCTGCCGTGGTGCTGCTGTGCGTGGTGCTGGGCCCCGAGCCCAGCGAGGCTCAGCCCTTCCCTTTCCGAGACCCAACGCTGCCCTGGCACCGCCGCCTCGAGGATCTGCTGGGCCGGCTGAGCCCCGCTGAGATGGTGCTGCAGGTGAGGGCACGGCGGGGGGCTTTGGGTACGGCCCCCAGCCCTCGCTCAGCCCCTCTGGCCCGCAGGTAGCCAGGGGGGGAGCTCTGGGGAACGGCCCCGCGCCCCCCATCCCGCGCCTGGGCATCGCGCCCTACAACTGGAACACCGAGTGCCTGCGGGGCGACGCGGAGGCGCCCGGGTGGGCCACGGCTTTCCCCCAAGCCCTGGGGCTGGCCGCTGCTTTCAGGTAACTAGGAACCTAATAGGGGATGGGGGCCCAGCTTGCTGATGTGTCCTGACCCCCCCCTTGTGCTCTGCCCGCAGCCCCGAGCTCGTGTACCGGGTGGCCAACGCCACGGCCACCGAGGTGCGCGCCAAGCACAACCACTTCGCTGCCACCGGCCGCTACGACGACCACACGGGGCTCAGCTGCTTCAGCCCCGTGCTCAACATCATGAGGCACCCGCTGTGGGGCAGGAACCAGGTGCCGGGGTGGGCAGAGGGGGTGATGAGCTCCGGGGGAGGGGGTGGGGGGCAGGATTTGGGCACCCAGGGCCGTGCCGCAGCAGCTCCGCGGGTGCTGGGTGTGAGGGTGGGGAGGCTGGGGAAGGGTCCCCAGGGGGAAAGCACGGAGGGGACAGAGGTGACCCGGCCCTCGCTTCGCCCCTCGGCCAGGAAACCTACGGGGAGGACCCGTTCCTGAGCGGGGAGCTGGCGGTGAGCTTCGTGCAGGGGCTGCAGGGTCGGCACCCGCGCTACATCAAGGCCAGCGCCGGCTGCAAGCACTTCAGCGTGCACGGGGGCCCCGAGAACATCCCTGTCTCCAGGCTCAGCTTCGATGCCAAGGTGAGGGCGGCAGGGGGGGGCACGGGATGGATGGCGGGCAGGCCCCCCACCCGTGGTGCCTGACCCCGTCTGCGCCGCAGGTGCTGGAGCGGGACTGGCGCACCACCTTCCTGCCCCAGTTCCAGGCGTGCGTGCGCGCCGGGTCCTACAGCTTCATGTGCAGCTACAACAGGTACGGAGCGTGCTGTGGGGCTCGGGGGGGGCTGCACGGGGAGGTGTGTGCCCCCCCCTGGGTGCCCCGTTGGTGTTTTCCCCATCAGGATCAACGGCGTTCCCGCCTGCGCCAACAAGAAGCTGCTGACGGACATCCTGCGGGGCGAGTGGGGCTTCGAGGGCTACGTGGTGAGCGACGAGGGGGCCGTGGAGCTCATCATGCTGGGGCACCACTACACCCGCACCTTCCTGGAGACGGCCATCGGTGAGCAAATTGGGGACGGGCAGGGGGGCCCCGGGCTCCTCGCAGCCCTGACCGCCGATCTCCCTTCCCTGCGGCGCGGCAGCGTCGGTGAACGCCGGCTGCAACCTGGAGCTGTCTTACGGGATGAGGAACAACGTCTTCATGCACATCCCCCAGGCCCTGGCCGCGGGCAACATCACGCTGGAGGTCAGCGGGAGGGAGCTGGGGACTGCTGTGGGTTCCAGCTGCCCCGTGCCGAGAGCGGGGCTGAGGTTTTGGCACCTTGCAGACGCTGCGCGCCAGGGTGCGGCCCCTCTTCTACACGCGGCTGCGGCTGGGGGAGTTTGACCCCCCAGCCATGAACCCTTACAGCTCCCTGGACCTCAGCGTGGTGCAGAGCCCCGAGCACCGCAACCTTTCTCTGGAAGCTGCTGTCAAGAGCTTTGTGCTGCTGAAGAACCAGCGGGGCACCCTGCCCCTGCGCGCCCGCGACCTCCCCGGCAAGCGCCTGGCGGTGAGATCCGGGGCTGCCAGCTCCGTGCCCCCCCCACCGTCCCCGTTTTTTGGGGAGCCCCGGACTGCGTGGCCGGGGGCTGTGGGTGCCCATCCTCACCCGCTGTGGCCCCCGCAGGTGGTGGGCCCCTTCGCGGATAATCCCCGGGTGCTTTTTGGGGACTACGCGCCGGTGCCGGAGCCGCGGCACATCTACACGCCCCGGTGAGCCCGCGCTGCTGGACACCCCCCGGGACGGCTCTGCCCTTTCTTGGGGTCACGGGGGGAACTGTCCCTGCTGTCCCTTGACCCCGCTGTCCCCTGGTGCAGGAGGGGGCTGCAGATGCTGCCGGCCAACGTCAGCTTTGCAGCGGGGTGCCAGCAGCCGCGGTGCCAGCGGTACTCACGGGCAGAGGTGGAGGAGGTGGTGCGGGGAGCCGACGTGGTGCTGGTGTGCCTGGGGACAGGTAAAGGGGGAGCAGAGGGCACGGGCGCAGCCCCTGGGGGGGGCACACGGGGTGTAAGGGGATTTCCCTTGACTCCTGGCACAGGGATAGACGTGGAGACGGAGGCGAAGGACCGGAGGGATTTGGAGCTGCCAGGCCACCAGCTGGAGCTGCTGCAGGACGCCGTGCGGGCAGGTGGGGCTCTGCGGGGGCTGGTGGCTGTCCAAGGGGCAGGACAAGAAAAAAGGACCCAGCACCATGCAGCCGGGTCCCACGCGTGCCCCATCCCGTGGAGCTGACGTGGCACGGGGCTGGTGGTGACACCCCGCGTCCCCGCAGCCGCCGGGCGCCCCCTCATCCTGCTGCTCTTCAACGCGGGGCCCCTGAACGTGAGCTGGGCGCAGGGGCACGATGGTGTGGGGGCCATCCTGGCCTGCTTCTTCCCCGCCCAGGCCACCGGGCTGGCCATCACCAAGGTCCTGCTGGGCGAGCAGGGGGCCAACCCCGCCGGCAGGCTGCCGGCCACGTGGCCAGCGGGCATGCACCAGGTAAGGGCAGGGCGAGCAGCGCCCCGCACCCCTCAGTGGTCCTGGGGCGAGGGGGGGGCTGTGGGGTGCCCCCTCCAGCCTTCACCCGATGCCCCCCGCTTCCCGCAGGTGCCCCCCATGGAGAATTACACCATGGAGGGGCGGACGTACCGCTACTACGGGCAGGAGGCCCCGCTCTACCCCTTTGGGTACGGGCTGTCCTACACCACCTTCCAGTACCGGGACCTGGTGCTGAGCCCCCTGCTGCTGCCCGTCTGCGCCAACCTCTCCGTGTCCGTGGTGCTGGAGAACACGGGGCAGCGGGACGGCGAGGAGGTGAGCGTGGCAGCCCTAAAAGGCACGGATAGGGTTGGGGTCCCCTCTCCTGACCCCCCTCCCTGTCCCTACAGGTGGTGCAGCTCTACCTGCGCTGGGAGCAGCCCTCGGTGCCGGTGCCCCGCTGGCAGCTGGTGGCTTTCCGCCGCGTGGCCGTGCCGGCTGGCCGGGCGACCAAGCTGTCCTTCGAGGTGCTGGCTGCCCAGCGTGCTGTATGGACGCAGCACTGGCAGCTGGAACCCGGCACCTTCACCCTTTTTGCCGGCGGGCAGCAGCCGGGCCAGCGGACGCGGGCACCCTCGGAGGTGCTGAGCGCACGGTTCAGCGCCAGCGGGGCCGCGCGGCCGCTGAGCGAGTGTTAGGGGTGGGAAGGGGCACGGGGATGGGTCCCGGGCATGGGGATGGGGTCTGGGCACGGAGAGGGATGGGGTCTGGGCATTGGGATGGGTTCTGGGCTTTGGGATGGGGTCTGGGCACGGGGAGCAGGGGGAAGGAGGAGGCTGCTTGGACACCGGGAGCGCAGCGCGCTTACAATAAAGTGCCCAGCACCACTCCAGGAGGCTGTGTCGGCTCAGGATGGCTCGCTGCCCGGTGCTGCATGGTGCTGCCACCCCCAAAATCACCCTCCCCAAAGTTCAGAGCCCCCCCTGACTGCCCCGAGCTGCTGTGGGGTCAGAGCCACCACAGGGCTTGGCCGTTCCCACCGCTGCCTCTCCGTCCCCGCCGTGCTGCCCGCATCCTGCTGAGTGCTCCTGGGGACGGATCCAGCCCTGCCCCCCCGAGTTGGGGGGAGAAATTCCCCCCCCCTGCTCCCCCCCTGGGCGCAGGGAATGTGCTGGAGCTCACCCAGGCGGCTCCGGGCAGCTATAAATAAATAGGGCCGGGGCGCACGTGGGACCGGGCAGCCACAGGGCACGGGCAGGGTGCGGGGCTGCAGCCGTGCCCCCTCCCCTAAAACAGGGTCCAGGGGGGGATTTGGGCTCTCGTAGGGGTGGTTTTATAGGATGGGGACCCCCTCAGCCCTGGAGCTGTGGGGCTGGAGGACGAGGTGGGGCTGGTGGGGAGCGCGTGAGGCTGCCCGGCACCGGCACCATTACATCAGGGCACTAATTACAGATGCTGCCCGGGATAATTACAGAGCTGGGGCAGGGCAGGGCAGGGCTCAGCCCGGCGCTGGCCCATTTATCACCTGCCCCCACGGGGCACCGGCTTTGGGGCTGGCTGCAGCGCCGACCCCATAGCGAGCAGCTCGGGGGGCCAGACCCTCACCCTGGGGTTCCAGCCCTATAAATGGAGGGGGGGTCAGCAGGGAGGTTTTTTGGGGCCGGGGGCTCAGATCAGCCCTCGTGGCCACAGCACGGGGTGGGAGCAGCCTGGGGAGGGGGCAAAGTCTTGGGGTGTGGGGCAGAGGGGGCAGGAGGGTTGGGATGGGGCATCCGTGCAGCCCGGTGATGTTCCCCCCCTCGGCAGGGATTTATTTGCCCCCCTCCCCTCCCCGCTTGCCCCCAGCCTCCCGCAGCGCCCACGCACGCGCTGGCAGGGCAGCGGCCACGCAGCAGCTCTAATTACCTTAATTAATAACCCTTCGATCTGAGGGGAGCTCAGCGCCCCCCCGGCTTCCCCGCAGGCTGAGCCGCTCGGGATCGGGGCGTGGGGGGGGGGCTGGGGCTGAGAGGGGACAAACTGGGGGGCAGCCCCCTCCCCAAACCAGCCCTGGGGAGCGGGCGGGGGGCATTGCCCCCTCTGCCAAGCACCTGGGGTGCACGGTTGGTTTTGGGGTTGGCTTTGGGGTTGGATTTGGGATTTGGGGTTGGATTTGGGGCTGTGCAGTGCGCTCGTGATGAGCTCATTGATTTTTCCATCAGCTCGGGCAGGGCGGCTGCACCCATGGGAATGGGGGGGGGGGGACAAACCCAGCACCACACCAGGGCCTGAACCTCTGTGGTGGCCCCCTCCTCGCCGTGCCCCCGCTCCGGGCTGGTTTTGGGGTGCTGGGCACGGAGCACCGTCCCTGCCTGTTCCCCCCTGGGACGTGCAGGGCTGTGGCTCCACCAGGAAAAGGGGTTAGGGGCTGTTGGTGTAGGATGTGGGGTGGCCCTGGCCCCGCTCCCTGGGTCCCTTGTGCACCGTGCTGGGGGGCTCGGCTGTGCTCGGAGCGGGGCCGTTCCCCTTCCCCGTCCTGGTTTCACCTCTGGTTGTGGGTTCACCTGGATGTGGGTTCACCTGGATGTGCTCCTGGGCTGCGTGCTCCCATCCCGTCCCATCCCGTCCCATCCCGTCCCCGGAGGGCCCTGCGGCTCCCGGAGCCAGGCTTGGCCACGCAGCATTCCCCCGGTGGGGAGTCTGCTGCCAGCAGTTTCGGGGAAACCACAGCTCTGACCCGGCCAGGAGCCCGCAGCACAAAGCCCTGGGGCGTTTTGGGGTGGTTTTGGGGTGGTTTTGGGGCGCGTGGCCACGTCGGAGGTGGCACAGAGCGGGGTCACCTTGTCCCTGCTGGAGGTTGCCGAGGTCTCCCTGCGCCCTGATCCCAAGGGTGCTCGGAGCTGGGTGTCCCCATGTGCCCCTCGTGCTCCCCCAAATTTATCCAGCCCCCCTCCTGCCCCGCTCCCTGAGTCAGAGGAATGCATTTCCGGAGAGCAGGGCTGGGATTTGGGGAAACCTGTTTGCCAGGGAGGGGAGGAGGAGGAGGAGGGATGGCAGGGGATCTCCTGGCCCGCTGCTGACATCATCCCCAAAACAGGCGCTGCCTGCACGAACCCGAATCCTGCATCATCACAGCTCCTGCTCAGCAAGGTCCCTGCTGCCCCGCTGCTTCTGGGGTGCACGAGCTCTGCCCCCTCTCCTGGGGATCCCCAGTGCCCATATATTGGGGTGCATGAGCTCTGCCCCATTTCCTGGGGAGCCCCTGTGTCTGTATTTTGGGGTGCACGAGCTCTGCCATCTATCCTGGGGATCCCCAGTGCCTGTGTTTTGGGGTGCACGAGCTCTGCCCCCTTTCCCGGAGAGCCCCAGTGCCCATATTTTGGGGTGCATGAGATCCGTCTCCTCTCCTGGAGAGCCCCAGTGCCCCTGTTTTGGGGTGCACGAGCTCTGCCCCCTTTCCTGGTGATCCCCTATTGAATGTGTTTTGGGGTGCACAAGCTCTGCCCTCTATCTTGGGGATCCCCAGTGCCCAATTTTTGGGGTGCACGAGCTCTGCCGGCTGCTGCATGGGGCAGGGGCCGAGCTGGGGGGCTCTGACCCTCTCGGGAAGGGGGGGTCCCGCCGTGACCTGCCCCATATTGGGGTAGGGGTGGGATACATGGGGCTGAAGCCCCCAATCCCGGGGTGCTGGAGGCAGACGAGCGGGGTGGGGGTGGGGGGAACAGCAGGGGGGACCCCACAAAGAGCTGTGGCTCTGCGATGGGAACCCCGTGTCCTTTTGGGGTGACCGGAGAGCTGACCCAGGTGGTGCTGGCCACGACGTTTTGGGGTGCAGAGGGTCCCGCGGGTGGCCGGAGCATCGCCAAACACCGGTGGGAGCGAACCCCAGAATTTGGGAGAAAAGAACCAAGGATGCAGGCGGGCTGAGGGATCTGCCTGGGGGGCACAGAGCGGGGTCGGTGGGCGAATCCCCCCTGGGCTGCCCGGTTCCCCAACCCCACCGGAGGCCCGGGACCGGGGCGGGGAGCTGGGAGCGTCCTCCCCCACCGTGCTGGGGGGAGCGAGGCGGCGCGGCACGGCTCAGCACGGCTCGGCCAACCCTCTGCGCCTCCCCGCCACGCCATGGAGAGGAGCAGCGCCGGGCGGGAGCCGCAGCCCCAACCCCAACCCCAAACAGCCCCCGGTAAGGCTCCGGGGAAACCGGCACCGGATCGGGCCCCTTGGGGTTGGGGTTGGGGTTTTGGGGAGGGGGCACCCAGGAGCAGGGCGGTGGAGCTGGAGATGTGTGTGGGGGGTGAGGGTGCAGGAACCGGCCCCCGCTACTTGGGGAAGAGGGCAGGGAGGGAGGGAGGGGGGCAGGATGTGGGGATGGGGGTGAGGGAGCCCCAAAGAGCCGCAGGGGTTGCCCCGCTCTTGGGTGAGGGTCCCGGATGCGGCCCTCGGCGCGGCGGATGCCGGAGCCCAGCGGGGATGCGTCGGGGCCTGGGGCGGTGGCGGGGTCCTTGGAGAGGGAGGGGGGACCCCACGGACGGGAAAAGGGGATTCTTGGAGACATTTGGGGCCGGGGGATCTACTGGTGAGGACAAAGCCTGGCGGCGCGGGCCCGTCCCTCCATTTTGGCGGTGGGAAGGAGACGCGCAGCCCCCCGGCCCCACGGCTGCGGCGCGGCGCTGCGGCGAGATGGAGCCTGCCCTTGACGAGACCTCCCCTGGGGCCGTGCTGCCACCGAGCTCCCCCTCCTCACCCCGGCACCCACGGGGCACCCCGATGCCCTCCCCGGGGAGCTGTCGATGGGTGCGGGTGCTGTGGCGGGGGTGGCCCCCGGCTCCCCACACCCCACTCGTGCCGCGCTCGCCGCCGCGTGCCGGCACCTTGGCCGGGGCGTGGGCGAGGAGAGCGGTGCCCGGCGGGGAGGTGATGATGGGGACGATGGGGACGATGGGGACGGTGCCCTCCTGCCTCCGTGGGTGCCCCGGGGAGGGAGCTGAACCTCTCCGGACCTCTCCGAAATGGGAAAGGGCAGCGGGGCCGGGTGTCAGGGCGCCGCTTTGTTTTGGCTCCTTTCTTGCAGGGGCTCCGGCCAAATGCTCTTTGGCCCTGGTGGGGTCGGTGTGCGCCGGAGAGGGGCTGTGACTAAGCAAGGGCTTTGTGGCCGGGGCCGCTTCCCACTGATGGAGGAAGAGGAGAGGCGGCTCCCCTCCCCCTCGGCCCCCGGTGCCCGCCGCAGCCCGAGTGGGAGGGCCGCGCCGCCGCCGTGATTCATCGGCCTGGGCCGCCCGGGTGCTTTCGGAGGAGGGCAGGACGAGCTGGCTGCCTCCCCACCAGCACCCAAATTGCCTCTCGCCGTTTATCCCAGGCTCTTGAGCGAGCTGGCTGCGGAGAGCGAGCGTCACAGGGCGCTGCAGACATCTTGTCTGCCTCCTCTCCCTCCTCTCCTCCTCTGCCTCCCCTTGCTCGCGGCGCAGCCGAGCATCTCCTTCCCTCTCCGTGCCAGTCCCCGGTCTGCGTGGGGAAGGGGGACGCTCCCTGACCCCCCCTGAGCAGAGGCTCTTGCCCCCGTGGAGGTTGGTGGAGGATGAACTGAGCTTGGGGTGTTTGGGGACGAGGCTTTTGGGCCCCTCGTGCGCAGCGGATCCTCCTGCTGCAGCTGCTGGTTGCAAAGTGCCCCCCAGCCTGGCGTGGGTGACCCAAAGGGGCAGGAAGCCCACGGCCGCTGCCGTGTATCCCAAAATAAGGAGGCTTGGAGGCCCCAAACCTGCGGGGTTTGCCTCGTCCTGGCCTCCAGCGAGCGCAGGGGCTCCCTTGGGGGGCGCAGAGGATCCAGCAGAGGGGCGCACGGGGGCTGCCAGCCCCACGGCGAGCTGGCACGGCCAGGAGCAGGGCACGGGGCACGGAGCAGGCAGGGTTTGGTGC